CATCACAATAATCCACAAGTAATCCACAGCACTCCAGTCCATCAGTTAACATCTGGAGAAGACAAAAGCTGAAACAAATCCATCATTAAGACCTTTTTAACGTCCATAATCCATAATAACGCTTCCTCCAGTGAAAAAGTGCATCTCCTGTTGTCTCTCACATCAAAATCCAGCCACATATTTGTTTAGAGCCGTTTTGGCTTGTAAACATGTGCTTGATCTGTGCAGATTTCTCTCCTGATTCAGACCAGACCACTTTTTCACCATAGAAATCAATAGGATGGATTCTGGATTATTTTAGCTAGAAGCGTTTGAAGTTAAAAAGGTCTTAATGATGGATTTGTTTCAGCTTTTGTCTTCTCCAGATGTTAACTGATGGACTGGAGTGCTGTGGATTATTGTGATGTTTTTATCAGACTCTCATTCTGACGGCACCCATTCACTTGCAGTGAACAAGTTATGCAATGCTACATTTCTCCAAATCTGATGAAGAAACAAACTCATCTACATCTTGGATGACCTGAGGGTGAGCACATTTTCAACAAATGTACATTTTTGGGTGAACTGTTCCTTTAATGGAAGAGAAATACGGTACATTTAAAGTTTATTTTGAACTTTTAGGAGCCCATCTGGATGCTATGAGCTCAAATTTACTTATATTAAACTTATATTAAAAAACACAAAACTCCAATGTTGATTTCATGGCCTTTTCTAATTCAGATGTGTGTGTGATTGTGTGCACAGATCACATTCCCCCTAAACAGTGCATCAGAGAGTCGTGAGCGTGCACAGCTGTCTCTGCAAACGCTGCATCCTCACCATAAGAGACTACAAGAGCCGCACGATTACACCGTGAGTTCACCATATCAGCAACTGGAATACATTTAGTACCTGAAAATGACATTTGCAGACTGAAAGTGTGTTTCTTAACATTGTCTTAAAGGTGGCTTTATCAGAGCGGCTGCACTCCCTGGTGTCTGATATGACAAAAGGAAACAGTAAAGGCAGCAACTTCCTGCTGTCGAACTAAAGCCAAGCCGAAACACAGCCCAGACCAAAGTCAGAAACATTAAATCTAAAGGAAAAGGTGCCTTAACCCTTGTGCGTCAATAAAAAAAAGTTACACACAGGTCCATAGTGGACAAAAATGTCCATGTCAAAAAAACTGTCATAAAAATTTGAAGCTTGGGAGCACAGTTAAGTTTGGTCTCATTTTAAAGAAGACCCATGGCAGATTATTGCTGAAGTAAAAAAAGTTTAAAAAGTGAAACCAAAAAAAAAAATTCTAGATGTTTAGGTTTATGAAAATGATCTATGAACGATGTTTTATATAAAATATACATTTTATGAAACATGTTGAACTCTATAACTGCTAGAAAATCAAAGCCATAAATCTAAACAAGTTGTATTCCAAATTTGAGGTTGATATCTCAAAAAATTAGCTTTCAGTAAGATTTTGTTCTGGTGCACACAGTGGTTGGATTTGTGATTTGCAGTAGAGTTTTTCCTCTCAAATATTACAAGAAATTTTTTATGACACACATACAAACCACACTCTGGCATCCATACCAACACACCCACACAATTATAGCTGCATTATTTATCCAATTGGCTCTATAATATGCAGAAGCAGAAAACAGAAATAAAGCGAGTATTTTCTTTATAGGTCAAACCTGAACAAATGGCACCATCTGGTAAAAAATAGTAAAAAATTAAATTTTGCCAATATAATGAAAGCCTATCAACAAAAATTGCATAATTTTACAGTTAAATGGCACTGCGATTAAAAATAGCAGTTTTAATGGGTTTAATGGGGACATTTTTGTCCTTAAGGTCCTGAGAGGAACAATTTTTTTGTACCTATAGTGCAAAACAGATTTATTAAAGGAAATGGAAGTGAAATAGTAAAATTCCAATAAAAATACACACCTGTGCCAAAATGTATGCAGTTGGCAATAACACAGGCAAAATTATAAAAAAAACAAAACTGAAAAGGACAAAAATGTCCAAAAGGTCGCACAAGGGTTAAAATCCCTGGTTCCCTTTAAAGTCCTAATAACAGATTGAGCAATGCTGCTTGTTGTGGTCCAATAGCATGAACACATTCTCTGAGCAATTCTTTTGAATATGGTATTGGTTCCTCTTACGATTAACTAATAAAATAAGCGATGATGTAATTAAAATGATAATTTACTGTTAGTTTTACAACATAATAAAGTTTAAATGTACAAAAGTGATTCATGACTGTGTGTTTTGTCCTATAATCCTAACCGTAATGTGATCTACCTTAAAGTATTTTTTTTTAATATTTAAAAAATAATAAAACAATTCAAAAATCTAGTACTACATGATTTTAGTAAATGAAAAAATCTAGTACTCTTTGATATTAGTCAATTGTAAGTAAATGAATAGTACATTCTTAGTATATCAATTTGCATATTTAATTTAATTTAATAAGGTAACAGGCTATGTTTGTTGTTCATATCTGTTATTATAATTTTTTTAATTAGTTTTTATTTTTTTATTTTAAATTTGTTGTGTTTTGTCGGTTTTATTAGTATTTTAAATGTCTATTTAGTTTGTTATTATTATTTCAGTTATAGTGTTAGGGTATTTAAATCCAATTATAACTGAAATAAAATAAAATGTAAAAATAAAATAAAAGTAACCGGCTATGTTTGTTGCTCATATCAGTGTTATTTTAGTATCATTGTGATATTATAGTTTTTATTATTTTTAATTAGTTTTTCTTTTTATATATTTTTCTTAAATTTGTTTTGTGTTTTTGTCAGTTTTAATTTTTATTTTTTATTATTATTTCAGTTATAGTTTTAGGTATTTTAGTAAATCCAAATATAACTGAAATAAAATAAAATGTAATAAAATATAAAGTAACACGCTTTATATTGATATGTTGTTCATATCAGTGTAATTTTCATATCAATGTGATACTATTATAGTTTTTTTTTTTTATATATGTATATATTTTTCTTTTTAAATTTGCTGTGTGTTTTTTTTTTATTATTATTTCAGTTTTAGGTATTTTAATAAATCCAATTGTAACTGAAATTAAAATAAAATGTAAAAAAAAACAAAAAAAAAAACATTTTAATTACTTTAAAGTGACAAAGGTTTTTAGATTTAGTTAACTATAAAAATCCTGTATCATATCGTAATGTGTGGGTCTTTAAATGTTTTATATCGAGTTTTGGGTTTTAAACGAATAAATGTGTAACTACGAGTGCTTTGAAATATTTTAAAAACAATTTGATGAATGTTAGTCTTCAGATAAACACAAAAGCTGTATCGTGCCTCCGTGTTGCCAGGCAACAGTTATTTTTCCGCTCCAAATCGCCTTTATTCCCATCACCGCCACCTCATTGGACGATTCCCCCGTCAGTCGGCCGTATTTATCGAGCTGTGATTGGCCATCACACGTGTCACTCAGAAATAACGCGATTCTATTGGCTGAATCCCAAGGACGCGTTGCGAGAGATCAGCTGTGGCTGGTGCGTGTACAGGCAACAAGTGGATTTAGTGATTTCGAGTGATTTTGATTCTTTAAAGATCCCATTATGGAGATAAACAAATGTATTTAGACACGTACAGAGTTAAAGCTGTGTCTCGTGCGTATTAAATAAGTGGAAAACAACCGTTAAAGTAGGGCGTTTAAGACCCGAGAAAAGATTTTTAGGAAAAAAATAGTTTTTTTCATGTCTTTACATTGTACAGAGCATAAAAAAATGTAAAAAAAAAAACGATATTTCGTTCATAAGTTATGCTATGTCCTCGGTAGAGGACATCGGGACTCAATTTTAAAAAAATAAATAAAAAGACATGAATGAACATGCATAGGCAAAATTTTTAGTTTTCAGGAATTTTTTTTTTTTTTTACCAAACTTTGTATAAAGATGATTCTCAACTATATTATAACATAATGATTTGATATACCATTTTTCTTTCTGCAGAATGTGTGTAAAATGGCAATAAACGGGTTTTCTCATTATATACATAGTCTCAGAGAAACACACCAAAATATAATGTCCTCATATGAGGTCACAGGGTCTCAGGAGGTTGAAAGAATAACATGGTAATACCATGTATTTAGACGGATACCATGACTTGCATTGTACAAATAAATAATGCTAACACTTAACAATAAGCTTTAATTTATTATTTTATTTAACGTGAACAATACTTGCACTGAATTTATTAATGTTAATCAATGGCAAGTTTAATATCTACTAATACATTTCTAAAATCAAACGTTGTATCTGTTAAGATTAGTAAACGGACTGTGAACTAACATGAATATTTTTATTAACTAACATAAAGGTTAATAAATGCTGTAAAATATGTTGTTAATGGTTATTTCATGTTAGTTAATGGATTAACTAATGTCAACAAATGAGACCTTATTGTAAAATGTTACCAAATAATAGCTATAATAATACTGTGTGTGTATATATATATATATATATATAAAATAACATTTTTGTATTTTATTTACATTATATATATGTATATTTTATTTGTTTTGTGTATACACACATAACATTTTTGTTGTTTTTATTTTTGTATTGTATTTATTTATTTTATGTGTGTGTGTGTATATATGTATATATATATATATATATATATATACACACACACACACACACACTTTTTCATTAACTCAATATTTACATGGAGTTAATGAAAAAGTAGTATTGTTAAGTGTTAAGGTATAGAGAACAGAACAGAAGTGCAATGGAGGCAGTGAGATTAAATTCAAAATATGCACATTTCAAGCGATGACATGACCGGTGTGTGTGTGTGTGTTTTAGGGATGTGATCCTCTCATCTCAACCCAGCGCAGCAAACTGCAGCAGCGGAGAGCTAAACTCAACCAGCAGATCAACCGAGAGCTTCGTCTGCGGACCGGAGCTGAAAATCTCTACAGGTATCAGTGTGTGCTAATATTGAAGTCAGACGTCAGAAAGAACTTTATTGCCAAGGAATTTGTTTTGGTGACAGAAGCTTCCAGTACACAGAGACAACACGCAGATAATAAAAAATTAAATTTATGAATAAAATACACATATGTCTATATATGACCCTGGAGCACAAAAGCAGTCTGAAGTCGCTGGGGTATATTTGTAGCAATAGCCAAAAATACCAGAGATGGCTTGAATAACACAGATAAACTATAAACTATAGTGTCGCAGTCGAGTGTTTATTGTCTTTGTTTTATCATTCAAAACGTTTATATGTTCTGTTTACTCAGTTACAGCTATAATAGTGATACCTTTGTCCATATAAGGGATTTCCTGGAGGTTCATGAGTTCTGCTACTTCTATGACTGGATATGTGGATTTTCTGTACGAGGGCGCCCTCTGGAGTCCAGTATGAATGAAACAGACATCATGTGTTTATAGTGCTAATGGCCAATCTATCATTTTTTGGGGAATTTTTATTTATTTATTTATTTTTTAATAAGTACCGATTCAGGCACCGGAACTGTTTTAAATGTATCGATTTGGCACCAGTATCGAAAAAAACCCAAACGATACCCAACCCTAGTTACACATGCACTTTGTTGATCTGCACCTGGCTCTCGTCATTCAAACATTATTCACTTGGTTACCTGATAAGTTAACTGATAGGATAACTTGGCATTGAACTTGAAATACCTGCTGCAGTATTCAGCCTTCCAGCGAGTAGGTTTGAGAAGTTTGGTATCTCACTTTGATAATAACTGGGTTAACTTGCTTGAAGGACAGAAAATCACAGGTTTATCCTGAAACAAACAACGAAACCATGTTAGATGAATGAAATTCTTTATTTTAGATCAACATTTCTCAAATCAGAACATTAGGTTTGAAGCATGCAAAACACATTTGTAGTTCTGTTTAAAAGAATATGAAAATTTGCTGAACATTTCCTCACCCTCAGTCCATCCAAGATGTAGATGAGTTTGTTTCTTCATCAGATTTGGAGAAATGTAGCATTGCATGACTTGCTCAGCAATGGATGCTCTGCAGTGAATGGGTGCCGTCAGAATGAGAGTCCAAACAGCTGATAAAAACATCACAATAATCCACAAGTAATCCACACCACTCCAGTCCATCAGTTTACATCTGGAGAAGACAAAAGCTGAAACAAATCCATCTTTAAGGCATTTTTAGTTTTAAACTGTTGTTTATCATGTTTGCATGCAGAACACGTGCATTTTGTAGTTTTTTCTTGACTTAAAAATAGATGCATCAGACATTCACAAACAAATCGTCTTTTTGTTGCAGAGAGATAGTCAGTGTTCCCATGATTCCACTGGGGTTGAAAGAAACTAAAGAGATTGACATGACCGTCCCTCTTCAGGTGAGATCAACTAAGATTACATGTGAACTCATTCAGTGTTTAAATCTGTCTAGAAATGTTTTTTCTCTGCTGTTTCATCAGGATTTTATTAGTGAACATTACGGTGAGGATGCATCTCTGTACCTGAATGAGATCCGGGATTTTATGGAACTAAGACAGGTCAGTTCAAGTCAACATGAAACACGGATCACAGCGCAAATGACTTCTTAAACATGCACTAAAGAATAATTAAAGACCAGGAACATGTATTAAAGCTACACTATTTGATAAAAAAAAAAAAAAATGTTATAGATGAAAGAAATCCATTTTCCAAACCATGTCTGCAGTCTTTGTAGGTTTATCAAAGTGTATTTGGGTGAAGGAGCTCTGACTGCAAGTAGCATGAAGCTGTTGTTACAACAAACAAGCAAAATCAACTATGGATCATTCAAAATGGCAATCATTAGGGAAGCATCAGTGCTATTTTACATTTACTGCTAGAGGGCGAAAAATGACATGGTGTAGCTTTAAGAAGGTAAATACAGTAAAATTTGATTTCACTGCCCTGCATCATATTTGCTGAATGAAATCCAATACTTGTTTCTTACTAATTTTGGGTGCTGCTGATTCCAAAAATGGTGTCTGTTTTGCTCACTTTCTTACAAAATATGATGCATTTCGTAGCATTTTTGCTTTCGACAACCATGTGTAAGGTGAAAAAGTCTTGTATTATCCCTTAATCAGCACCACAAACACATGATTCCTGTCTGAATCTGAGCCAGATTACAACTTTGTTCAATTCTCAGCTCATTTTCACATGTATGAATGATTCTGAAGACATTATGCATGAATTCCATTCCTTTGCAGATTTCAAGTTAAATGATAGATTTTGAATATTTCTTTTTGTCCTTAAAACCTTTGACCTTTGATTTTGTTATTTTGATAAGTGCATTAAAGGTGATACATACAGTATATACACTGTATATTAGGGATGTAACGATTAACCGCGAGCCGGTTGAAAATCGATTTAATATGTGACGGTTGAGATGCTAAACAAATCACGATTCAGTCAGGGGTAGGAGTTTATATGAATGCATGTCTGAGGGGAACTTACTGTCTTTCGATGGTATTTTTTCTTTTCCTCTTGCCTCTGTATAATGCATATTAAAGTTCATAAGTGCAGCGCTGCTTTGTTTACAGCCGAAACCAAGGAAACGCTTTAAGCGCCGCCTGCTGGCAGAGAGTGCATCTGCGTCTCATTCAGCTCGTCTGCTGTTTCAGTTTCATGCAGATATTTTTTATGCATAGTTTCACAAAACTGAAGTCAAACCATTCTGTTTTTGCTTCAAATTTCGAAATTATACAACCTAATTTAGATTAAAAAATGCTCATGTTGCATGTATGCAGCATCTTTGTTTGGATCAAGATTAAAATGCAGTGGTTGCCTCTAATTTTAAATGTTAAGAGCACAGACAAAGCCTTAGTTTGTTTATATGAAGAGATTTATTTTATTTGTGTTACTTATTTATTTGATTTGGGGCTTGTTTTAAAATTTTTATTTAGTTTTGTTATTTACATTTACATTATATTAAAATTGTGTTATTTAGCAGACGCTTTTATCCAAAGCGACTAACAAATGAGGACAATAGAAGCAATCAAAACCAACAAAAGAGCAATAATTTACAAGTACTATATTAGTATATTATTATAGTGTTATATTTCAAAATCGTGAATCGAATCGAATCGTGAAATCAAAACCGTGAATTGAATCGTGAGTTGAGTGAATTGTTACATCCCTACTGTATATAATTTGAAAAATCTTCATTCTTATTTTGTGGATAAACTGTTATATTAGGCCTTTTTTGCAAATCATCTGAATTTTTTGTAAGAAGCAGTGCTATGTCACGAGAAACACAAGTCAAACCGTTATTTTTGATGATGATTATTTCTCTCAGTCGGCTGAAAATGATTTCACCTGTCTCTGTAGGCCATGCGAACTCCCAGCAGGAACGAGACGGGACAGGAGCTGCTGATGGAATATTACAACCAGCTCTATTTCCTGGATCAGCGCTTCTTTTCACCGCACAGAAGTCTGGGAATTCACTTTCACTGGTGAGACGCACTGCTGCACACAAACACATGGATGATCAGAGGTCAGAGACAGAGCTTCTGATCACGTCTCTCATCACAGGTACGACTCACTGACCGGCGTGCCTTCAGTTCAGAGAGAGCTGGCGTTCGAGAAAGGGAGCGTTTTGTTCAACATCGGATCACTTTATACTCAAATCGGAGCCAGACAAGATCGCTCGACACTGACTGGCATTCAGAGCGCTATCGATGCTTTCCAGAGGGCGGCGGGTACTGAATGATCTCTAGCTGTCTGTTTTTCTGTCTTGGGTCATTCACAGGAAACGATTACACAGTACGTTACAAATATAAATACACACACACTACCGCTCAAAAGTTTGGGATTAGTAAGATTATATTTTAAAGGATATTAAAATAGAAACCATTATTTTATATTGTAATAACATTTTGCAAGATTGCGTTTTTTTTCTGTATTTTTGATCAAATAAATGCAGCCTTGATGAGCAGAAGAGACTTCTTTAAAAAACATTACAAGTCTTACTAATCCCAAACTTTTGACTGGTAGTGTATATATATATATGCTTATTATTTGAATAGATGTCAGTAAATTCTGATAGTATCAATCTGTTCCAGCATGCCTTTGTTATAAATGATGTTTTATTGAAAACATATTAACACAACATTTGACACTCTTTCAAACCTCATTATTTACATTTAGTATGTGCATTATAGCAAGAACATAATTTTTCTGGAAAAAAATGCTAATTTATAATAATTAATTATAATATTAATTATAAATTATTAATTTTTTATTAAACAATACCACTTTACTTGGCAATATACTCTTCTGTTCAAACGTTTGGGGTTGGTAAGATTTTATGTTTTTGAAAGAAGTCTCTTCTGCTCACCAAGGCTGCATTTATTTGATCAGAAATACAGTAAAACTAGTAAAATTGCAAAATATTATTACAATTTAAAATAGCTGTTTTCTATGTGAATATATTTTCAAATGTAATTTATTCCTGTGATGCAAAGCTGAATTTCCATCATCATTACTCCAGTATAAAGTGTCACATGATCTTCAGAAATCATTCTAATATGCTGATTTATTATCAGTGCTATTATCAGTTAATATTTTTTGGGAACCTGTGATACTTTTTTCAGGATTCTTTGATGAATAAAAAGTTAAAAAGAA